CCAGCATAATATGGCGTCGGATTCGTAGAAATCCTCCTTTAAGCCCTCGAAAATCAGCCCGAAAGTTTTGAAGGGCAAAACCGTAATTTGTCACCCTGGGGTCGAAATTCCATTTTTCGATCGTACACACTCCAGATATGCGTGGCCACCCCAAAATGGCATCGGCCTCGAAAAATAATCTCATTTGGCCTAAAAAACGGTTGCCGTAGTCTCCAGGGGCAAAATTATAAATTTTTCCAATTTCTGCCGAAATTCCAATTTTCAGCCGTACTAGCCCCAAACATATGTGGCCACACTAAAATGACATTGGCCTTACAAAATATTCGCAAACGCCCTCGAATTTTCGACATCGAAGCTCGGATCCAATTTCGCGTTCAAATTTGCTCGTTTTGAAGTTTTAGGGTCTCTCACTAACGGGCGGCTGTTTAGGGGTTACGCGTATCGACGTAGGGTTGTCCGAATCGTGATGGCCTCGATTTTTGGGAGAACGTGAGGAATTATCACTAGTGCCGGGGGTCGCGATCGTTCGGATTAAATTCGGGATTCGTTCGTCAAGCGAACTTTCGGTCGTGCGGAATCACCCGCAGTCCGAGCGTACGTCATTGATTACATTGAATCCGTCATTTTCCTAAGATCGGCTCATATTGGCCCAAAATATTCCCTCGGCGTTTCTCGAAATCGGTACTCAACTCTCGATCGGGTCCCCGGTCCACGTACCGTTTCCTATTTAGCCTTTCCCAATGGGTTAGTATCCCGTGATTGATCAAGTCCGGGCGAGACTTACTAAAATCAAACGAGAATTAATATACACTTTATTGATCCCGGTAACGAGTCAAAATTCGGGATGTTACACAACCCTTCCTTCTGTCAAATGAGCAAGGAAAACAGCACGGTTGTGTTGGTCCAAGAAGTCCGTGTTTCGGATTATTCCTAGTTTTCAAGAAATGTTTTGTGTAAGAACACGGTTCTCCTGTCTTTTTGGTTGGCAAAGCCATGTGACGTATGTATTTAACTATTGCAGTGACTATATATCTATTATGCTCCTTTGTAATGTTGTGAAGCTAGATCTGATGGTCAGTATGTTCATTTTCATCTGAATATCTTGTAAGAACCGATGCAGGAAATGTCTCAAATACATCTACCAATTCATCTTGCGTACTCTGTCAAAGCATCTGCAGACTAGGTTGAGGATAGAAGCAGCGGATTGTAAATATCTTGCTTTTTTTCAGTGGGGATTCATGTTGAGTTCTGTGAGCTCGTGATAGTGAACGATGAATGAATATTACATCTTATAATCACGTCTAGTATTTTCAACTTAGGGACACGGGCAAGGATTGCCATGAGGTCCAAGTTGTGGATTAAAGAAGATTAGAGACCATTTTAGTTCATCAAATCTTTAGGAACTTATGCAAGAACAGAAGCCTTAACTCAACTATACATATCATCAACAACGACTAGTGATAACATTTTAGTTTGGTCAAATCATCCATGATCAGATTGAATGAAGAATCGACTCAAAATGGAATCATTACTGCGAGATGCGATTTATCTCCTTTGTTTGTTCTTGCAAAAGATGCGGAATGCTCATTCCTCGATCAAACAAGGAGAATGGCCATTCCATGGCTCCATTTGCGGTATGATATGGGCCGTATGGCCAATATGGCCAATCCATTCCTTGGCAAAATATTAAGAAAATTATTATATACAATGGTATCAAGTGTACCTTTTATTTTTGTTTCTCACACATTACCCATTTTAAGGACATTTTACATTCCAAAATTATCCTATCACAAAACAAGGATTCTTTTCAACTTATTTTCTCGTACAAATACAAGAATTGCTATTCGTATTTCATTCCTTTCCTTATTTCATTTTCTTCCATTCCTTGCTTTAGTTCATTTCCCTCTCGTTCCATGCCACCAGTTGTAGGATAGGATGTGGACTTGGATGTTTTCTTGAGAGGAAAAAACAAAGGGAAATTTTGCACTTTTAGACATTGTTGCCACATGAAACTTAATCACGAAGTTATGGTCCTGTGGATGTTCAAGTGTGCATCATTCATAGGGGAGTATTGAGGGAATGTCGTTTGAGTCATGGTCCCCTGGCTGCAATAAGAATGAGTCAAATCTGTCTGCCCATCAAAGGAATCCAGAAGACCTTGCTTACCAAGCAATAGCATTCACTGCTAATCCAAAAGACATTCTTCTGGAAGACAATCATCTGGGTGATTAAGTTAAGTTTGTCGTCAAACCACTTTTAACACAAAGCGTCATTAACGATGTCTGCCCTTCTGGCTTGTTGGGGCTGAACCATCTTTTGCCCAAAATGCCAGCCCATGCTCGCCTCTCCTGCAGATGTATGATATTGCATTGGTCTTTTCTTTTCTCTGGACTGTTTTAAAACGCAAGTGATGACGTTTTGCGGGGTGGGCATTTGTCAGTGTTCTAGATGTCGACTCGATGCGACCTCTCTTGCCCCACACCACACGACATGACAAATTCAATGCGTCAGAGGTAATCTTACTGCATTTTTTTTTCCTGTTTTATATCCATTTGGCGGGCCATCTAAAAAATAAAAGATTTTTATTAACACCCTCGTTAATAAGATAGAAGAATAAATTTATGATGAAAAGAAATTTAGAATTTATAAACAGTGGAATGTAATGGGGTCCAATAATCTGGAGTTTTTCTTTTACGTTTTTTCAAATCATACGACCTATGCTTATAAAATAGTTGAAAACATTAAAAGTTGTGTTACGTGGATATGTAAATTCACATGTTTTCATAATTATTTAAACTGTTTATATTACATTCTAAATTTTGACGGAAAGGTAAGAAAAAGTTACTGTTAACTTTTTTTAGACTTTGCAACAAACAAGCTATAATATATTCATACCTTACCAAAAAACAAACTATAATATATTCATACATTCCAAGGAAAAATAAAGGACGGTGCACCATTTGTCAATTCTTCAAAGCATGTGTTTGACAACTCGATAAAGGGTCCTCACAGTCAATGGTGATGGCTGAATGGCATGAGTCGATGTTTCTAAAACACAAGATCATGAGTTCGAGCGTTGCTCATCATTAAGTAATCTTCAACCCAGAATTTTGTGATAGCTACCATAATAATGTTCGGAGAAAGTAGCCATGATGGTTGGGCTTCCCAACTCTTTTGGGGCATGATATATGAAAAGTTATCTCTAATTTAGAGGACGATGCAAAACAATTTGCTTCATGGCGATCCGTCAAAATATCGAAGTTCTCTCTTTTAAATATCTTAAGATCTAGACTTTATATCGAATAATGCTTATCTAGAATTATTGAGGCATCCGTATTATGCCTCTTTTTATGCGAAAAAAGAGAAATGGCCAACATAAAACTCTCGGTCCATCCATAATCTGCAATGGTCACGATTCGACCATCTTATGTAGCGAGTAATGCTAGATGTATGAAATTACATGGATAATAATAATATGTGGTTATTTAAGTTAGTGGATCCATTTAAGAACTCTAACATTTTTTATTGGATATTAACAAGAAAAAAATGGTTAGTTTTGGTAATAGGGGAGTTTGTCATTTATTATACCAATGGTAGCGGTAACCTTATTTTCAATTTTTCAACAAACAAACTTTATTACGAGTCGCGAAATAGATAATCGCTTCGGCTAATAATCATGCAAACTCATAATTCTGGTAATGCTGGCTACGAAAATTAAATCTAAATCCACAAAAAAAAGGGAAAAAGACTCCTATGTAGTTCTCTTTTTGCATTGTATGTCCTTGCTTCGGATAGAAGACATTGATTTGCTTGGAGGTCAAGTTCTCGATTTCTTCTTTGACCTTTAATTACTTGGCATGCGATTAGCATCCGAGCACACGTCAGAAAGGGTAAAAAAGAGAGAAGAAAAGCAATTGATAATGATCAACTGGACTCAAATTTCTCGTAGATTTTTTCAAAAGCTTTTGGGCTAAGAATTGTACCATCTAAATTAAGGTTAATGAATGGTTTTGTGTATGCGGATTAGGGGCGTAGGGCAGTACATCTTCGATTCTCCTCGTCGCTAAATGCAAACAATTCCGTGATTCATTCTCTAAGTTTTGTTGCCTTTGCATGTCGATCCCTTATTAATTATTTTGTGCAAATTTAACCCTCTAACTTATTTGGTGAAATAGCTATCATGGCAATAGTACATTGCGACCTCAACTGAGATTGTCTTACCTTCAACGAGGCATATTGGGTAGCGACAAACTAGGATCCGAGGTCATCGAGGTCATGTTGAGGTTGGATGATCTCCATATGAGAATAATTTACAATTTATGATGGACGGATTTTTTCACCATATATGTATCCATCCTTTGAAAGTCAAATATGTGGATAAATTCGGAAAGACATATGGGCACTCGACGACATCGATTGGCAAGCACGATTTAAGTCAATATTCAATGGAGACATTCCTAGTCAGAGGCCATATGGGGGAGATGCAACGTGGAAAAAGGCAATTTGACAACTTCAAAGAGTATTACCTTGAAATCGACGAGGATGAGTCGTATGGAAAGAACTATGAAATTACATGAACTTCCGGAAGAACTCGCACCTTGTCTAGTGATTTGCTCCCGTGGCAATCCCTTTGGATCAATAATAAAAAATAAAGAATCGTCTCCAATGGCATGAGAATTTCTTTCAACATGTGTAATATAGCAACTTATTTCCAATAATATGATAATATTAACTAACGAAGTTCGGTAAATATCATGCTAAAAACGCTTCAAAAAAAGCTCTTCCTTATGCTTTTGCAAAACCAAGTTAAACCAACTGATTCGATGCACGTTTACAACGCATGAACAAGGAACTCGCATGTACAACAATGACTCCGTGCCTTTATCTTCGCCTCCGTCCCCAGAACATGCCAAAGTTGCAGCCAAAGAGCGAACAAAAGCTATAAAACAACCAAAACCAAAACCTCTTGATTTATTCACCACCGTTCAAGTCGATGTTATATGGACGTTAGGAGATGATACACTGTCGATAATCAAACACTAATGCAAAAAATTATTTATTAGGTACAAGTATTTCGAATTTGATACAACACTTGTCAAAGGCTTTTTACACCATCACGATGAACAAAACACGCACCATTTTCAATATTTTGTATTTGATATAATATTTATGCTATACCCATTCTCTAATTTTGAGCAGTGAATACTTTTTTCTTCTCTTTATTTTGGATGTCCTTCTCGTTTTCTTTCATTTTCTTTTTCCAATTGGGGTCGCGGTCAAAAAGCTTCTTGGCCAACACGCACATGGCTATGGATGGGCTATGTCTATATAAGCACGACACCTCACAATCGCCCTTGCCCAACATTATCAAGCCATCATATCTCTCTCTCACCCACACACAGACACAGACCCACATACAGACAAATAGATACACACACAAAGAAGAAAATATGGAGGTTTCAATACAATCAATTGCACTAGCGACGGTTCTGGCCGTCCTGACCACATGGACATGGAGGGTGGTGAACTGGGTGTGGCTGAGGCCGAAGAGGCTCGAGAGGCTCCTGAGACAGCAAGGCCTCTCCGGCAAACCCTACACCTTCCTGTTCGGAGACCTCAAGGAGAACTCACGGTTGCTCAAGGAAGCCAAGTCCAAGCCCATCGCCGTCTCCGACGACATCAGTCCTCGTGTCTTGCCTTTCTGGCATCAATCCTTCCAAACCTATGGTATGCACATCTTCATAGTATCTATTCGTGTGGCACTTGTATTTTCTTATTCATTAACACTCGCTTGTTTTTAGACCTTTGGTCGATGCTGTTTTTATGGAGTTTTAGGACATTTGAATTTACTGTCCCTCTCTATTGAAAATTCATGCCTCCGCACTTTGAATTTTGCCGACCAAAGATGTTAATACATCTCAAGTCTTTTAGATAATTGCGTATTTTAATATGCACACAATATGGGCATTTTACCATACAAAAGCGAACATTAAATAAAGCTCGCATGTGATAATGTCGTTTAACATTTAAATTCTTACCCGGCCATTTAAAAAAGATATTTCAATATGGATCGATGAATGATTGATATGTACAAACGCTAGACTATGTGACTGACATGACATGGCATATAAATTCAAGTCATACCGATTGAAGAATCATGGAAGTAACATGTTTTGAGGAAGTCAAAGTCATTGTCAAAGGGCAGAGCCCATCCCATACACAGTAATCGCAATGAGCACAACACCCATTGATTTATGGGAATAATTAGCAAAAAAAGTACTAAACATATTTGATCATAAAATTTTTAATTTGATCAATTTAATTCTAAACCTTTTGATAATTTATAAATATAGTCTTTCTAGTCAATTTCGTCAATAAATTATTGATGTGGATGCCAGACATCTGACATGGCATGATTGGCAATGACATGAATAATTTTTACAATTTTTCTGAAATTTTTTTTGTGGCAACGCCCTCGCCAGCCCTAGGCGAGGGTGTTTGGGCCCTCGCCTATGGTTGGCGACCTTTGCTGGCCACCGTCGAGGCTCTAGATTAGCAGAGGGAAAAAAGAAAAGAAAAGAAAAGGGAAAAAAAGGAAAAATTCAGAAAAATAAAAAAAATTACAAAAATTATCCATATCAACGCCAATAGTGTCTCGGGCTAAAAATTTTCCACTAGCGACATGAGTTAAATCATGCAATTATATGCATTCCAAAAAAAAAAAACAGCTGCAAATGTATTTCATTTGGTAATGTGGCTCTTATTTTTCTGGTTGCATTGCAGGCAATGACGTGTTCAAGTGGATAGGAACAACACCGAGAGTGAGCATAACGAACCCCGAACAATTAAAGGAGATCTTCTCCAAGATAAACGACTATCCCAGGCCAGCCTCCAATCCCCTGGTGAAGTTGCTAGCCGATGGACTCGCGAGCCACGAGGGCGAGAAATGGGCACGGCACAGAAAGATCATCAATCCAGCATTCCACATGGAGAAGTTGAAGGTACATGAAACTATACTCTGGTCAAATGAATTGAACCACACACATTGATGCCTCAGGATTTTTCTTTTAATTCCTTCTTTGCATTGGTCTGTTGTTCTTGCAGCTTATGTTGCCTGCATTTTATTCAAGTTGCACTGAAATGGTTGGTAGATGGGAAAAATTGGTATCAGTAAAGAGATCCTGTGAGATCGACGCGTGGATCGACCTTCGAAATTTGACCCGTGACGTGATCTCTCGAACAGCATTTGGCAGTAACTTTGAAGAAGGCAAAAAGATCTTCGAACTTCAGGAGGAACAAGCCCGGCTCGCACTTATAGCCCTTCAATCGGTTTACATCCCCGGCTGGAGGTAAAATCTTTCATCATCCATAAGCTAATTGAATCTAAATGAGCTTCTGGCTTACAATCATGACATTCTAAAATATCCAACTATTTGATTCAATGTTTCACAGGTTTGTGCCAACTAAAATGAATAGGAGGATGAAGAACATAGATAAGGAAGTGCAGGCTCTACTCATGAACATCATTCGCAGACGAGAGAAAGCAATGAGGGCAGGGGTAGGTGCTAGCAATGATCTACTGGGGCTGTTGCTGGAGTCAAACATGAAAGAGAATGTCGGGATGAGCATTCACGACGTGATCGAGGAGTGCAAGCTTTTCTACTTCGCCGGACAAGAGACCACTTCGGTCTTGCTGGTTTGGACCATGGTCTTGCTGAGTGTGCACTCGGATTGGCAAGCACGAGCTAGGGAGGAAGTCCTCCAAATATTTGGAAGCAGAAAACCTGACCTTGACGGGTTAAGCCACCTCAAGATTGTAAGTTCAATGCTCTTTTCCTCTTTTGTTGAGAGCGGGACTCATAATAGGTCCAATATGAAGAGTTCTTCATGAGCAATTTTTATCACATGACACATAATAATCATTCTACAATTACTAGATGCGCATTTGCAATCCTTAGTAGACGAAACATTTTTTAAAAAATAATGTTATCCTATGAAGATGAACACGACAATGAGTTGACAGGAGCGTTATCTTCGCATCCTTGGATTGAACTTGGATTTCCCTTCAAGACAAGAACCTGATTTTTCGGAAAATAGCCTCAAACCCTTTTTACTGGATAAATTAATCTCTATTTCATTCCCTTCGTGGATATTGATTTAACTGTAGTAGTCAATCTCTGGCATCATAATCATACATGGATGCTCCTACATATACATCTCTGCCATATGACTGCTTCTATGGATTTGTCGCGATAAGGTCACAATGATCTTGAATGAGGTCCTGAGGCTATACCCACCGGTGATGGAGCTGGCACGGAGGGTTGAGAAGGAAACAAAACTCGGGAAGCTGACCATACCCCGGGGAGTCCAGCTCGCAGTGCCGACTCTCCTCATCCACCATGATAAAGAACTGTGGGGCAAGGATGCTGATGAGTTCAAGCCAGAGAGGTTCGTTGAGGGAGTCTCCAAGGCCACCAAGAACCAAGTCTCCTTTCTCCCATTCGGATGGGGCCCTCGTATATGTGTCGGCCAGAATTTCGCTATGATAGAGGCAAAGATGGCGCTCGCCATGATACTTCAGAAATTCACATTTGAGCTCTCTCCATCTTATGCGCATGCTCCTTTCAATGTCATCACCCTCCAGCCACAGTATGGTGCTCAGGTCATCTTGCGCAAGGCAAATTAAAAGTTACAGATCAGGGTGACGAGTTGTGTAGACAAAAAAGTGCATAGAAATAATGAAATTATACACCATTTTCCAAGTTTATGCATTGTTGTTTCTTCACTTTTGAGAACAGAAATTTAGTTTTTGTAAACGTAATCAAATGGCCTCTTAACTAAGTGACCGGTTATTTTTAGTTTCATAACAGCAAGCCGCTAGATGTATCTGAATCTTCCTTTCAGAAAAACCCCAGTAGAAGATAAGGCATGCCTTTTCTTAGTGCTATAATAAACCCATTTATTTCTATTGTGATACTGATCTGGCCAATGACCAGTAAAAATGGCATTTTATTAGCCCTCTTCTTCAGACGTAAACGTACACTGGAGGATATTTCTCCACAAATGAAATGAAAAGACCACAGCGGCTTTATTTGTGCAAGAGACATTTCTCCAACTGCTTGGTCCAAAGCAAATAGAGCTATTGCCGCTAGTTTTTTTTGGGTGAGTTTTGAAATTCTTTGCCTTTAAACTAGGGCATTGAGGCAAAGAAACTTGAGTCGAAGAGCTTTTATTAAAAGCAAAAAGTGCTTTAATGTGTTAAATATTCGATACAAAGCAACATTTTAGACTCAAACCACTGCCCTTACCACCTTGTCTTTGTTTCAAGTTGTTTTCTAACCTTCATTCATTAATAGCCAAATTAGCGCCTATCGAATCACACATGGATGTAGCATTGGATTAATTCGGGAAAGCTCGAGTAAAGAAGTAATAGGGCAATTCCTCTTCAAGGCCTTGTGACGTCAACAAACAAGATTTGTATGGAACGTCCTGCTCTTTTTGCCAATAAACTTTGAGGCCTCGTATGAGAATGGAATGCTGTTACTACACCCCGATCTTCCTACGCTGGTAATACTTGTGTGGAGTAACAATTGGTGATAGGGAAAAAATCCAGCCTGTAGCTTCACACCCCCCCCCCCCCCCACCCGTGGGGCTTGGTTCCTATTGGAAGGATAAGGATGCAAGATCATCATAATCCCAATATAGTAGGAGATCATGCTAGGTTGTGCGATAGCTGTAGCTACCAAATTAATCACTGTAGCCCTTTGTATTGCTCTCTATTAAAGGATAATGAATCCTCCCCCAAAAAATAAGATGAATTGGGGATTTACCACCGTGGATGTAAGCTTCCAAGGGATTATACTCTCGGTTGTCTGAACCACATTAACGATTGAGTGTCCCTTTTTCTCTTCTTTTCTTTCTATTCTACACATGATTTTCATTGAAACATGGTATCAAAGCAAAACACGATCCTAAGGTTGGCTTCATTGTCAATGCTTCCGCTTGTCTATTGGTGGTTCCTATAGGTTGTGTTCTGCTATTTGTAGATCTATTTTTTGCGGTGGTTTCTTTGGTTTGCGCAGAGGACGATATGTTATTAGACTCGATTGGTACAAGATAAGTTTGCTGAACTTTGTGCTCTTCTTCTGTCTAGCACTATGGCTGATAACAGCAAATCTATTTCTGAGATGTCCAATAAACTTACAATTATTATGTTAAATGGGCATAATTATCTGCCTTGGTCTAGAGCTGTCTCTATAGCTCTTGGGGGTAGATCAAAATTGGGTTACGTGAATGGTTTTATCAGAGCACCTGCATCTACAGATGCAAAATTCGCTGAATGGCAGGCAAATGATAATATGGTCATGTCTTGGTTGTTTAATTCAATGGAATCCCAACTCTATGAGATATTTGCTTATTCAGAGACTGCCAAGTCCCTATGGGATTCTTTATAGGATATGTATGGCAATGTTGATAATGCATCCCGTGTTTTTGAGTTATAACAGGAGCTTGCTCATATTGAACAATCACCTAATCAAACATTTATTGAATATCTTGGTAATCTGAAAAAGAAGTGGGATGAATTGCAACAGTATTGACCACCAGCTCAGACTATTGAGATATATGCCCAACGTGAAGAGCAAGACAAAATTTTTCAACTTCTAGCCAGTCTTAGGCCTGAATATGAAGACCTTAAGAGGCAAATTCTCATGAGTTCTACTCTTCCTAATTTTTCCACTGTTTGTGCTATTGTTCAAAGGGAGGAAACTCGTTGTCGTGTGATGACTTCTGATTCCAAGAAAGGGGTAGATTCGGTTGAGAGTTCTGCCCATGCTGCTAAAACTAATGGTGGTCACTATGGTTCTGATAGGGGTCGATTTGGTTCTGGTAAAGGCAAAGGCAAAGGTTACAATAATAAGTTTCATTGTGATTACTGTGATAAGGATGGTCATTCTAAAGATCTTTGTTGGAAACTGTACCCTCATCTTAAGCCTAATAAGGATAAAAGGGGAGATGCCAAGGTTGCAGCTCAAACTCAAGGCTCAACATCTGACTTTCAAGCCTCTTTGAGTAAATTTGCTCTTCAATTGCAGCATCTTATTCAATCTGGTGGCATAAAATCTTCCATTTCAGATTCTAGCAATCTAGCTCAATCTAGTAATTCCCTGGCCCTTATGACTTTGTCTTCCAAAAATTCTTTTATTGTTGATTTAGGCACTACTGATCATATGTGCAGTACCTCTTATGGAATATCTGATTTTCGTGTTAATTCTTAGGGTTCTCATGGTCCCATTACTATGGCCAATGGAACTTAGGTTCTGGTTGAAGGACAAGGCACAATTAATTTATTTTCTGCTGCTTGTGACGTGTTATTTGTGCCAGCTTTATCTTCAAATCTGTTATCTGTCAGTAAACTTACTAAAGAATTGGACTGCAATGTTGTTTTTTCCCATCAAAAGGTAATGGTTCAGGATAGACTCACAGGGAGGACGATTGGTGAAGGCGGATTACAACAAGGTCTCTATGTGGTTGATTTTCCGAGTGAGGCTTTGGTCGCAAGGATGGATAAGGAGGCTACTTCACAACTCTGACATTTATGCATGGGACACCCCTCAAATAATGTGCTGCATAATTTGAATGTTGATTTTTCTCTTGATTCGAGTCATTGTGAAACTTGTCGTCATTCGAAGCAGCATAAACTGGCTTTTCCCACTAGCACACATGTTTCACAAGAACTCTTTGAATTAGTACATTCCGATATTTGGGGTATTGCTCCTGTGATCTCTCATGATGGTTTTAAATATTATGTTACTTTTATTGATGATAAGTCCCGTACCACTTGGATTTATTTGTTGACCTCTAAGAGTGAAGTGTTGAAAGTGTTTCAAGAATTTTGTAATATGGTTCACACTCAACATGGTCGGCGTATCAAGATTCTCCTAACTGATAATGGGACATAATATACAAACCATCATTTTGAGTCCTTTCTTAAGTCTTTGGAAATTGTTCATCAAAGCTCCCGTATTGGCACCCCTCAACAAAATGGGGTAGCCGAACGGAAAAATCGTCACCTACTTGAAGTGACGAGAGCTCTATTATTACATGGTAACTTTCTCAAGACATATTGGTCAGATGCGGTGCTCACTAGTTGTTACTTGATTAATCGTCTCCCTAGTAAGATCTTATGCTACAAGTCTCCAATGGAGGTGCTTATTGGGCGACCTGTGAATATTTCACATCTTCAAATATTTGGAAGTGTTTGTTTTGTGTACTCTCTCGGGGGAAAACTTGATCCTTGTGCTCGAAAGTGTGTTTTTATTGGTTACTCCTCTGTCAAGAAGGGGTATAGATGTTTTGATCCATCTGCTAAGAAGGTTTTTAGCTCCCTTGATGTTGTCTTCGATGAGACTCATATGTTTTTTTCTCATTCTTCAGGGGGAGAATAGTGATACTGACTTAGACAATAGTGGATTCGATGTTGAAGTTGCTCCCTTGCCGATTGTAACTAATCACATCAGTGATAATAGTGATCTTGCTCTTGCTCCAGAGCAAGTGGATGAAATTGTTGATATAGAAGAGACTACACCTGCCTCTGTCGCTCTTGCTCCTATTCGTAAGACCATTTGGGTTTCACAACCATCTACTAGACTTTGTGACTTCACCACTTATCATTCTGCACGATTTCCTATACAAGATTATATTTGCTATGATAAATTTTCGCCTGCCATCCATGCTTTTTTTTTTTCAGCGGTCGATGCTCAGAAAGAACCTGCTACCTTTCTCAAAGCCAAAAGTTCTCAAGTGTGGCGAGATGCTATGAAAGAAGAGCTAGAAGCACTCGATAAAAATCGTACTTGGGATATCGTCACCTTACCTGAAGGAAAGAATTCTGTTGGTTGCAGGTGGGTGTATAAAATTAAATACAAGAGTGATGGTTCCATTGAGCGTCACAAGGCAAGACTTGTTGCTATGGGCTACACTCAAACATATGGTGAAGACTACAAAGAAACGTTTGCTCCCGCAGCAAAAATGAACACGGTGAGAGTATTGATGTCTATAGCAGTAAATTGTGATTGGCCACTCTTTCAAATGGATGTTAAAAACGCGTTTTTACAAGGTGAACTAGAAGAAGAAGTTTATATGATCATTCCTCCTGGACATCTTTCAGAAAATCAACCAAATGCAGTTTGCAAGCTTAATAAAGCCATCTATGGCCTCAAACAGTCGCTACGTGCTTGGTATGGAAAATTAAGTTCCGCTCTTGAAAGTGTGGGTTTCAGAAAGTGTGATTCGGATTCCTCCTTATTTGTGAAGCGAAGTGCCAAAGGAACGATGGTTGTCCTTGTCTACGTGGATGATATAGTTATTACTGGTGATAATTTTCATGAAATCGAGGCTCCCAAGCAGCACTTGAATGTGAAGTTTGATGTCAAGGATTTGGGATCTCTGCGCTATTTTCGTGGTATAGAGGTGGCTTATTCTAGTAAAGGATTATTCATCTCTCAAAGGAAATATGCTCTTGACTTGTTAAAAGAGACTGGGAAACTTGGAGCTGCTCATGCAGAGTCTCCTATGGAGTATAATAGTAAGTTTGTAGACGACGTCACTCCATTACCTAATGGTGGTCGATTTCAAAGGTTGGTTGGAAAGATAATTTACTTAACCATTACTCGTCCAGATAATGCTTACGCTGTCAGTTATGTAAGCCAATTCATGCATGCTCCTACTGAAGGACATATGGCGCTTGTGGATCGCATACTTCGGTACCTAAAGTCTAGTTCAGGTCGGGGTATTTTGATGAAGAAACATGGTCTTACTGGTATCGTAGGGTACACCAATGA